AATGAACAATGAAGAAGTAGGAAGAGAGAGATCAAGATAATGTCCAATATAAAGCATTTGGATGGAGATAATGGGGAAATACAATTTGGTAAATCAGTATATCAAGAATAGTTTTATTTTTTGATAGTTCATTTTTATAGTTGCAGAGGTATTTTTGGTCTTAACTCTACATAGGGCACTGACAACTCTACATAGTACTGTGTCAACATTGCACAGTGTTCAAAGGAATTATTGCAACTAAAAAATGATTAACCATTTAACTAGAAAATATTTTAAATATTTAGTAGCAATCTGGATATCTCTGTCCAGATTCAAATCATCTGAAATTATCAGATGACTAATAAATTCATTTTGTAGCAATGTAGCAAGGGTTTTCTCATAACTTGAAAATAAAATTTTACTGCACATTGTAATTTCCATTCATTGCCTTCTGGGGACCTAATTTGTACAGTATTAAATACCAGGGAATTATTTAATGGAGAAATGATTTAGTAAAGCTTATCTACTTACAAGTTCAAATACTCTTCATATTTCATGCTTAAAGGAATGTTGAAATAACAACGTTAAATCAGTTTCATACTCATTCTTATATTCTCATTACTTGAGTAACTTGGGACTAAAATGACAGTATTTTTAAATTACCACTTCTAATGTTCTTGTTAATTCCTTCTATTAAAGTAATAAACAGAGAATTAAAATAGTACCACCATGGGATATTTTGAGAAACAACCCTGATAATGTAATGATGAAATTTGAATTCACAAAGATGTTTTTCCTTGCATTTACATGTTACCACTACTGGGTATAAATTTGCATTTGCCTTGATTTATACAGCTATTCCATGACATGTCAAAGAATATACTTTTTTCAACAAATTCTATTCATGTCTCTATCTTTGAAACACTGTTACTCTCAAAAATAAGGTAGATTGGTGACAAATGTAGACAAGTGAGAAAGATGTATTGTAGTCAATATCCAAACAAAACTTTCATTTGAAATTAATACTACAAAATGTATAATAGAATTAAAGATTTTTTCTATTTTATCAGTTAACTTGTTATTTTCAATGATACACCATATAATCACAAAGAGTGTATCATAATTTCAAAGCATGGTTCAGCATCTGAAACAATGTCATGAGCAATGACCAGTACATTCCAATAGTCTGTTTATATTTTATTACCGTTAACATTATTTCCTTTGTATTTTTTATCTCGTTCTCTAGACTTCTTTGTGAAGGACTTGCAAAGTTTTAGAGGTTGTGCAATGGGTGCTTTTAAATTATTATGCATATAATGAGTTTTAAAAACTTGTATTTATCTAGAATCTGAACAATTAAAAATCAGTTACTAGATGGCATCAAATAAAAAGGATACTAAATGCCATCTGATGTTTCTAACAATAACCTTCTGACATAATATAATCCTACAGTATTTTCTAGATAATCAAATAATATTATATTCCATTTAGGAAGCTTTATTATTAGGTATTTCATTCTTTGACATTGATCACCATTGCATAATAAATAATAATATCAGTTCAAACATTTCCAGTCAAGGAGAACAGTTTATTCCCTAAACCTATTGAATGAATGATGGTCTGCATACCATCTAATTTATTACTTAATAAACCTGATATGTTCTCTATGACCAGAATATAGAATAAATGTGTACATAACTGTGAGATTCATGGCAGGAGACAAGTTCCACTTTCTAGATGTATGGCATTATGTAGGTTACTAAGCCTCTTTTTCTCAGGTCTTTTCTTTGTGAGATAGAAAGTACCTACCTCTACATTTCAGTGGTTATTTCAGGGCCCAAGTGACTAATGGAAGCAAAAATGTAATGCCCCACTAAGACACTGTGGCTATCATTATGGAAAAATTGCTTCTTAATGTTATCGGCACACAATCTGGAATTCACAGGTTGAGTCATTTTTAGGAGCTGTATAGCAATTCAAATAGATAAAAATGTATCGTGTATTTATTCACCCATCACTAAATAGATATTTTAAAGTGCAAGCCTCTTGTTTTAAAATACTGTTTCCTTTATGAGAAGAAAGACTAGCGTGTAATAACTAGAATCACTAGTTTATATCAGAGTAGAGGCAAATGGGATTACAGTTGTTTTAGGGAAACAGGATAATACTGTTGTGGATTTATTTGCTATTTCTGAGGATAAGGCATGTTTCTTTAGACATTACAATATTTAACACTGCAAATGAATGTTCTTGTTTACAAAAAACTTTCCTACCAAAACAATCAAGAGAGACCATTAAAATTTTTCTAAAACAGTTTTTAACACCTTAATTTTCTACCTGTCGTGTCTTCACTGATGATTTTAAGTTTAGGAAATTGAAACTATTTATCTACAGGCCAGAATATTCCTTAAATACTCACTTAATTGTCTCTTGAAGAACAAAATTAGGAAAGACAGGCTTTTTTTGAAAACACGTTTAACCACTACATGTTTTCATTTTAAAACCTTTTCCTAATCCTTACTAGAGAAACAGGAACTGTGAATTGAGTCCTTTTATTCGTTTCCGCACCCCCCCCAGAGATTTCCAAACAAAAGCTATATTTGAGTTTGTGCACACGCAGTTTGACCTTGAGTTTGTGGGCTTTTAAAGAAGACCTTTCTACCCTCCACGCCTTCCTCATTAAGTCATACTGCACCTGCCAAAAGTCTAGTCTGTCTCCTCTGAGGACGCAAGGGGTCGCCCCTCTCCCAGGATTGCACCAGCGAACCAAGCTGCAAACGCAGACTCAAAGTGCGGAGCAAGAGCATCGCTGCAGGAGCTGTCTCCCAGTCCCACTCCCACAGAATAATTGGAATTGCAACCCAAATCCACCCATCCCCTTTCATCCCCGCAACCCAAACAGAGGTCGCCTTTGACTTGGCCTTGAGAAGATTAAGGCAATGGAAAAGCAGTTTGCCTTTTGACTCCTCTCTGGCCTAACCCAGAGGTGCACCATCCCACAGCTCCCCTAAGCCTTGAGGCAGCGCCCGGGGACAGCTTCCTGCGCCGTGGTCCTCGATGGGGGAGGTGGGATTAAATGGACCGCGAGCTTTCTTTCCTGTGTCTTCCTTCATAACCAGGGGTCCCAACGCTGCGAAGCGAGACGCCTCTGACACTCAGTACCCTGTCCTGCCTGGACAAGTGTGTGGTTCCCAGCCCCGGGGTCCTCTGTGGGGGTAAAGGAAGGAGCGGGCTCTGGGCACCGGCTGGAAAAGCGGATGGAAAGCAGAGTGGGGTTCGCTTCAGCCCGGCCTTCCTGTGCCCACGGAGCCCGAGAATCAATTGCCCAGGCCAGACCCTGGGAGAAGAGGAGGCGGGGACCTCCAGGCGCGAGGACACCGCTGAACCCCAGGCCGCCCCTTCCGCGTCCAGGCCTGAACGAAAGGGTGGGTGGGGAGTTACCAGAGTACGCACCATTTGGAGGCCAAGAATAATAAATCGGATGCCCTGAGATATTTAGTTTGGGTTCTCCTGCCCCCTGCTAGGCGATCCTAAAGGCGGTGAAACCGGGCCAGGGCCCCTGTCGCTCTGGCCCTGCCACCTTTTTTAAAAGCAATTTTCAGGTGAATCAAACCTTGTCTGGCGGAGGCCAGCAACACAAAGGGAGCTTTCAGGGGACCCTCATGCCCAGGGGCAGGGCAGGGACAAACAGCAGCAGAGAAGCGATTATTAAATTTCCATCTCACACAAGCCGGTGTTGTGTCCTCCTCGCTGCTCCGACGCCTGGCCCGAAAGGCTTCCCGGGCGGGACACTGGGAGAGGGATCCGCTTGGAGAACCAGGTGGGGCCGCTGGCCGCGGGCTGCACGCCGCGGAAGTGCGAGGGGCCAGAGCAGCAGCATCGCTCCCTGCCCTCGCGAGCTCCAAGAGAGGTTTACTCCTCCCTCTCCCCACCAGCGCCCCCAACGAGAGCCAGGGTCGCCCCTTCTCTGCTGTCTGCGAAGGGACTCCCGGTGGGAACACAGACACTAGAGCAGCGAGCGCGCCAGGCTATCCTGTACCGAGAAGAGGTGACACCTTCGCAGCTGTCCCTTCATCTCGGGAAGATTCCACCTTTCAGACAGAGCAGCTCGGGTTGAGGCTGTCCTGGTAGTATCCGCTTAACCCCAGCTAGGGCACGGTCTTAAGAATCCATCACAATCCAACTTTCCAAATAACAGCATTAAGTGCAGAGAGGAGGCGAATCTTTAGGGGAAAACCCCATCTTCCGTACGTGTGTGTCTCAGGGGACACACTTGAAAGGGCCAGAGATGGTACACTCACGTGTGACAGCCAAGAGAAAACCTGGAAACTCTGCACCTACGGCTCCCACAGTTGGGGTGCTGCTGTCTTCACCCCTTGGGCGTGGGACGTCGGGCAGCTCTGCAAACGCGCAGACACGCGAACCCCCAGCGCCTCGCGTGCCCTTTGGCTCCGCCGGTGCGTGTCGGGGATGCGGCCGCGCAGGCGCTGGCTCCCTGGCCTTCTGGCCGGGTAGCGGGCGCGCGGCTATTAGGAGTGCAGCCTAAGGGCCCAGCCGAGGTCTCCCCGCGCGAGGCGGAGGCGCGAGGTGAGAGGGTGCCGCAACCGCGCCTCTCCCGGCATTTACTCAGTTTCAGGGGCATCCTGTGTCTGGGCGTCCCAACTGCCTAGGGCTGGGTGCCCCTGTCCCATTCTCAAAAGGAAAGCACAAATCCCGGGTGCAAGTCTAACCCAGGACCGAACTTTCCAGCGAACCTGAACTTACCAGGGGGCGGGAGCCACCTTAGCGCCACGTCCGCCCGTCCCCCGCACCGGCTGGGATGCTGCGGAAGGCAGGGGCGCGGACCGGCAGGCGTGAAAGACGCCGTCCATACCCCTAGAGCCCGAACCGGCATCTCCTCCGCGAGGCGCAGGGCGCGGGGCGGGAGGACCACCGCCGTTGGGAGCCGGTTCCGGACAGGCAGAGACCCGACAGGTGAACGCGGCGGGACGGAGCAAACGCATAAAAAACCCTGCACTTACTTCTTCGCTGGCGCCTTCCCCGGGAGGCGTTTTGGCTGCCGATGTATTCCATAAAGTTCAAAATGATAAAAAAACAAGAAATCAGTCGCAAGTGCATAGTAACCCAGTAATGCTTCCCTTCCTTTTCTCCTTTTTCTTTTGATTGTTACTTATATTTAATGTTTTTAAAAGTATATGTAGGTGTTAGGCGTATATAGAGAGTTCCCGAGCAGCGGGACTTCTCCTCTCACATCCGATAGGCGTGCTGTGATGGCAAGCGAAGCGGGGAGGGTGGACAGGGAAACCAACTATTGTACTTTCAAATTATCCAAGCACTGAACTGCGGCGGCTTCGCTGGGGTGGCTGGCATTGCCGCGAACCGGAGTTCCAGGAGCCGCCGGGGCGGCTGCAGGTAGCATGTTGTGCGGCAGCTGCCGCAGGCGGGATCCGGACGGGCGAGCGGCGGCGGCGGCAGCGGTGGCCCCTTGGGCTCAGAAACTGCGGCGGCTGCGGCGGCAGCGGCTGGGGCCCCGGGAGAGCAGGGGAGCGGGCGCTGTCGGCACTGCGGCCATGGCCAAGGGGCGGTTGAGAGACCCCGAGCTGCTTCTGGAGTGCGCGAGCAGGAGACGCTCCAGTGTTGGGCTGGGCTCCCGGGAGCACCCCATAGGGGAGGAGGAGGAGGGCAGGGAGGGGGGAGGGGGAGGAGGGCAGAGAGGGGGAGGGGGGATGGCTGTGGGGGGCGGGGGGAGCTCGGGGGCGGGGAAGGAAACTGCTGGAGCAACAACCCTGAGCGACCTCAATAACTTTCAATTTCAAGAGGGAAAGAGGGAGCTGGAAAAGTACAGGCGTTGCGATTTGGCAGAGGGACGGGAAGAGGCGCCTAAGGGGTCCCGGGTCTACTGCGGAGCATCTCTGGACACTGCAGTGACGGCGGGAGAACCCGAGCCGGGAGAATGGGGAAAGCAGTGCGTGCGAAGAGCCCCTCAGAAGGGCAGCTCCGGCGGGGAGACTTGGGCGCCCTGGGGCTGGCAGGCAGTGTTGAGAGCGAAGACCCCCACCCATCCAAGTCTGGCTCCTCTCCGCGGCCGCAAGCTAGGTGCACCCGGCTGTCGGTGGCCGTGCGCCCCTGTGCCCCCACCCCACCCCCAGCGCCGGCTCGCAACTACTGGTCCCAGGGCAGCTCTCCCCTCTCCTCCTTGGCAGATCGCTGGAAAGTTTCTGGCTGCTGACTTCTTCCCGGCTTTCCTGACCTTCTCCTCTGTTGCCTTTCTCCCTTTCTTTCTTTTAATAAAAGTGGTTGCAGTTGGTCGCCAGTCTGGTGGTCGGGAGGAAACCCTGTGGGTGCTGCCGATCTGCTACTCTGAGGTTTACCTGCTCTGAGCCGGGAGGACCCAGAAGTGTGTGCGCTTAGGACCTTCCCATTGGAAATGCAGTTGTGCTACGGCTTTCTTCCAAACCAAGCCTTTTCTGTGGCTCTGGAAGATTCCTTCCCCCTCAGACAATTCCCTCTGTAGTCTGCTCGACCTCGCTTGGAGCTTTCTCTCCCACCCTCGGTCTCCCAGTGTTCTTGAGAGGATCTGTTGTACATTTTGAGCTCTCATCTGGAAGAGTGAGAATAAGATGTGGAAAAATTTTCCCCAGTCTTAGGGAAGGAGGAGGAAGGTCCACCTCTTTCTTATCTTCCCAGAGCAAGTGGAGGCCCAAGGCGGCAGAGAGTAAGACTCCCTGGCCCACCCAGGGTTGGGAGAACAGGTCCGGCATCCCTGAGTGGTGTACACCCTGGCTGTTGTTAGTAACAGTGAGCTTTCCACCTCTTCTCTCCGGTGGCAGTAGATGACGAACTTTCAGTAGTTAATTGAAGAAGTATTTAGTTGAAAGTCACAAGCCTTAAGTGATTTTAACATAAGCCTGTCCTGTGTATTATATTTAACAGAATATCTGAAGGACTACACTAGCACTACAGGTTAACACAGCAGCAAACTTCTGGGAGGTCACTTTGAAAGAGTCCTTGATTCATAGGTGCCTTGCTAATTTTTGTGCTCAAATAATTCAGTCTAAGTAAATTGCTAAAGCCTTGCAGAGAAACAAATGACATTTGTACTTCTCTCTCCTCCATTTGTAATCCCTATTATTGGATTGCCTTCAATTTATGTAAATTAGATAAATGTACATAAATTAGAGCATTTTGTAAGTTTGTGATGCTACGAATTGTGTCTCTGGAGTACTTCAGTGGTGTATTTGTTATACATCCCAAAAGTAGGATAGAGGAGGTAAAGTGGCTTGGATGCAAAAGGAAGGGAACTTGAAATATGCATTATTTTCAAGATGCTAAAAATTAGAATCTGAGAGATGGCCTTTTGATGTCAATTCTTTAATTAAATACCATTTATTGTTTTGCACTCTTGTGTTGGAATTTTGAAAGTAGGCATAGTTTTCTTTAGGTTTGATATTATAAGGAAGGCAACACCCCCAACGAGATTACGATTTTTGCCTTCTTTTGAAGAGTTCATTTACAACATCTCTCTTTCAGTGGTGGAACTTTTTCTGTACATTGTATGCACATGTGTGCGCTCCCCCAGGCCCCCCCACACAGCCTTTCCACCCTTTATGTGTTGCAAAATGTCTAGTTATAAATGACTGAGTTTGTCACTTTGAACCAGCAGAGTTACGGATAACAGGACAATTCCAGTAATGATTATCCACAGAAGAAGCCACTCTATTTTACTGTGCCTGTCCCCATCTGCTTTGCTTTCCTTCTTGCTTAATGCCTCAAATCCTGAATATCTGCACCATAAAACATGGGGGATTTAAAGACTATGGGAGGCTCCCTTTGAAAAGGACTCCAGAGACAGCCTTTCTAATCCGGGATACTTGAGCTGGATGAGATGAGATTGCAAAAGGGATGTGAAAAAGCAATTTGATGAACAACTTCAGGGAAATAAACATGAAGAAAGACATTTACTTTTCACTGTGGGTTGTGCAGACATATGTTAGTTTGGATGAGAACAGGAATGGCGGTGTAAGTAAATAAACAAACCCAATGAGAAGCTACAGTTCTTGAGCCATCCCAGGAAAGAAGTGCTAGATGCAGTGGGAAGGAAAAGCTTGTTAAGGAATAAGCTCTGCTCAGAGGAAACATAAGGAAAACATTAAATATATGGGGAGAGTATTCTTTCTCTCTTGATGCTGTGCTTTAGAATAACTTTTTCCTGATCCATATTACTGTAGTATTAAATGTGTGTTTACTTGCCTGGCTGAGTTTTACATTCCCTCACTGTCTTAGAAGCTTATGGAAAGCATGCCATGGCATATTTTCTGCAACATAGTACCTTTTTTTCCCCCCTTCGGGCAAGAAAGCAACACTCACAGAAGCCTGTGGCTGCCAGTGAATTTCAGAGCTCAAGCCTAAAGAAAGTTAAAAAGCATAGGCTCGGCATAGAGGTCGGCATAGTTTGCTTATTTTTCTCCAAAACACATCAGTTCTAGGGAGTTTTGGATAACCAGGAGACTGGGAGACTTGGTCCTGGAGAACAGAATAGTTTTGAACAAAGATAGGAGGCTAACCATATCCAGACTAGTTACTGCAGCTTCTCATCTCTCCTTCCACTTATTCCAACCAGGCAGTGACAACAGTAACAAGTTATTTTTATCCATTGCAGCAGTGGCACTTTAAGGAAAGAAAATGATTGTCATATTGTTGAATCCATACTGCAAATATGTGAAAGGGGGTGTGCTCCAGAAAGAGAGAGCAAGCCCAATAGTTTGGAAAGGGATATAACTAGTAGTGATGAGAGATGTTTGGCAAAGTTTGGGGCTGACATCAGTCATTAAACCACAGAGCGAATATGCAGATTCTGAAAATGCGCAGCTCTCCAGTTGCTCAGATTGGGAGGCATCTGAGTCAGTAAGTCAAACAGAGGCGTGTGTAACTGATGCAGCTAGAAGTCATCCCTGAAATACAGAGCGGGCAGCAGCATTTAAACACCATTGAAATTAGTAGATGAAGGAAAACTACTATTTTTAGAGAGAGAAAGAAAGGAGACAGAATTATTGTAGCAATTTAAAAAGTGGTTATTTTGTTGTATAGCATTAAGAAAATGAGAAAATCAAGACCCATGATGGATTACTTTCTGTCAACAAGAAAGAATGTTCTTCCTCCCAGATGAAGTTATGGGACATTTATGTAATTGTGGCAGGCATCATCTGGTATGCCCATGCTTAAAACTTCTTTCACAAATCAGTTGATTGCCAGGCTCACTTAAAATGTGAATATCCAATAGAACTCAATATAAAGAAGTTAACAGCTCAGAAAATTTTGCATGATCATAGAGCTTTAATGCAAAGAGGGTGTATGTTGTAGTAAGAGGGCACTAGATTGGGAGTTTGGGGATCAAGGTGAGTCCTTGTTGTGTACTTATATTGTTGTGTGTCAGGTTTCTTCATCTGAAAAACGAGGAAATTCAACTAAACCATTTCCAAAGTCCCTTTCAGCTCTGATAATAATGGAACTATTTCTAAGAAAGAAAGACAGACTTGTAATTGCAAATGTCAGAGCTATTTCTAGTTGTGTGACATCACAGCATTTACTTACAGAATTGTGTTTAATTGAATAGGCCCAGATTTAGAAATCTGCTTTCAAACTTGTTGATTTTCTGGAAATGCCTAACCTATTACAAGAATCCTAGATGACTCTGGCCCAGCAAAGATAAATTCAGGAAGAGTTCAATCTGTCTAGATGTCTGTAGACTTTGGGACAACAAGAAAGAACAAATTACAAATCCGAGATTCTGGGCAGAGTCCTAGAGAGAGTAGGGAAAAGGACTCCGCATCTCCTAGAGATAGCACTCATTTAGACCTGTTTGCGGGAATCACAGATAAGGGAGGAATGTGGATCTCACGAAGTGCCTTTTTTAAATGTTGCGTTATTACTTTCTTTTTTGGAATAAAAAGTTGGAAATAAAAGTCACGTTTTATTTTTCCTATTCACGTCTTTGGATGAGGATTTATATCCATGTACCCTTCATCCTGGGAACCTCTTCTGAAGGTCAACAGTGAAGGTTGAGTGGTTGTGGTCACAGATTTAGGCTGAAGGGTGACTATCAAAGACATAAAAGTATAAGATGTAGAGTGCTAGATGAGGAATAATATCAATGAGTAATTTTTGCAGTTACTTTTACATGTATTATCTCAAAACTGCCTCAAAAGATTGTCTCATAGATGAGACAACTGAATCCAGAAAGATAAGGTCACTTGCTTAAGCTTATCATGTTCTGGATATTTCATATTTCCCCAAAATCTATTTTCTCTGCCCTCCCTGTTCCTCAAGAAGTTGACTTCCATGAACTAAATCACCGGAGCTCATTTCCCGTTTTTTGGTTGAGTTCAGGCCTCGGTGGGGGTACCTGTGGGTGATCAGATCGTGGGGAGGAAAAGTGATGCTACTCTTTCCCTGCTTTGGTCTCGTTTCCCATATCCTTCAGGAGCCTATAGCCCTGCCATGCAGTCCTTTTTCTGTGGCTCTGGCACTCAAGTAGGTTTCAGTATCACTGCTTAACCTCCCTGACTCCTCAGGCTTAGGGGTAGAAATGGCTTTCTTCTCTTCTTAGTTCCTTGGTGCCTCGACATCTCTT